ACCTAAAAATGAATTAGTCAAAAATGACTACTACAGTTATTAGTGACTGCTTTTTCACTTATACCATGCATACCATGGTATCCCCAACATTAAATAGCCAATTCTTATGTAAAATTTTCCCCTGAATCTAAAAATATCGTCAAAAGTTATAAAAGTATGGGGATTCATGGGAAAATTTTATATTAGAATTGGCCATTAAATGTTGGGTCAATTTTGACTAATTCATTTTTAGAAAGAACTTCATTCTATTCGCCCACTAGTGGCGCGAGTAAGGCGAGCAGGTAAGAAAGCCGCAGGTATGTCGCGAGGATAAAACTCGCGAGTAAGACGCACGAGTAAGTCGCAACAGGTAAATCAAGTAGCGCAGGTAAATCGCGCAATTAGGAGGCGCGGACAATTTGTGCGGGTAACTCACGCAATTAGGTATGACTGATGACCATGACATGGTGAAGTAAGTAACACGCCAAAAATCGCAAACAATGTCATTCAGTTACCCCATGGTCACCATGTGGCGCAGGAAAGAATATATATTTCTTGCGGTAACTGAATAAAACATTGTTTGCGATTTTTGGGGTGTTACTAACTTCACTTTCGAGGAATCTCCTCTTTCCCCACGAGTCGCACAAAACTCGCACAATATTTACAAAATTATAAAAGTATTTTATAAGTACGCTGCTTTATTTATTCATCAACAGAAAACGTTACTAGGTACTTAATAGTTTTCTTCAATACACGAGAAACGTTACTAGTTTAGTTTCTGTACCAAGAGAGGCTTTGCCGGTTTCGTTTCCATACCCAGTGTTTTGGTTCTTCTTAAAGTTTTGCTAGTTTTGTTACCTTAAGTGTCGTTACTCTTCGAAGAGAATTCTGTTAATTGTTGGGAACGATTTCCAACCTTTCGTTTCTGATTATGTTTTAATCTTTTTATGTTACTGGGAACGATAACGCCAGAAAGGGAGTTTCATTTTTATGTGAGGTTTTGTTACAAGTCCCTGCTAATAACAGCTAACTTAAATTTATCACGCGTCGGGGTCTTGGGGCCCCTTATGAACAATTTATGAGGGCCCACCGGGAAACCCCCGGTCGCCCGATGGGCCAGCACGCGCCTGCTATAGGACGACCGCTTCAACTTTGTTTAAATTTCCCGTCGTATGTATGTGCTGCCACCTGCTGGGCGATCAGTTCATTGCAGTGACATTTGATTTCGACAATTCTTTCGCCGTGAGTGCTCCCACCTAATAGCAGTTGTGTAATATTAGTAAAATATTAGTAAATAAAGTTTGTATTATTTTATTCGAGGATCTAACTCTAGTAGACCCGAAACTACAGGTGAGCCAAGTACATGGTATTATTTTAATTATTTTCAATCGTAAAGAGAGTAAGAACCATTTTATAAATAAATTAATAAATAAGTAAATAAAAACAGGAATCGGGGATATCTACCTGCCCACTGCCAGTTAAATAAGGTGGCAGAGTTCTACTACTAAATATCTACCTGCCCACAGCCAGTTAAATCAGGTGTCAGAACTCTACTACTAAATATTTTATTGTTTTGACCTTTACTTGATGAAACTCCATGTCACTAATGTATAACTCAACAACAGTGTTTTTTATTTATCCAGTTATACATTAGATTCTACTACTGAACTAAATAAGTACCACATCGGACATATATTGAGAGTATTATCTGCTACGAAAGTCAATTTAACTATTATTTGCTTGCATGTACTAACGCTTGTCGTAAGGCTGTCGATATAATGCCTAAACTCGTTTAACCTGGGACTGCGATAATATTGAATTGACAATACCTCTTGTACTTTTCGATTACCTGTAGGAACAGCGGAAAAGGCGATGCCCATGGTCCCTCCGAAAATCTTTTGGCAACCACATAAAAGAGCCACTAAAAGCAGTCCTTCCCGACAACTACATAAATATAAGCACACACACGCAGAGACTAGTGTTGATATGTAAACTGATTAAAGGTGCTAGCCACCACATCATACATACCTACTTAAATGTACGAAAATAATATCGCCAATGAAAAGAAGCCCAGACCCACTGTATATCGATGAACGGATTACATTTGTTCACCGATTTTACTTTGATAAATTATCCGATAATTATAATAATATTGAACCTGAACATGATCCATTTAGTGACGATGGGGAATTTAATGGTGACTCTGATGAATCAACTTCGAGTAAAACTTCGAGAGAGGAAGATAATGTTGGAAATGTAACTGAAACTCAAAATAGCAGATTCCGTGAATTTAAACTTTTTACTGAAAGTGTACTAAAGAAATTTATTGGGTTGTGTCTTCTTCAAGGGCAAATAAAAATACCAGTTCTCAGGCAATTATTACCTATAATTGTACTACCATCCAATTTTTTTACATGCATTAAGTGGACGTCGATTCGAGCAGACTCTTGGATATTTTAGTATAAATACGAGCGGCAAAAAAGTGAAGACCGCCTAAGAAAAAATATAAACCTGTTAGATTTAGTAATAAAAATAGTAACTTAGTATTTTTTCCTTCTGTAGCCTTTTTCTTATACGAATCTATGTTGCTATTTAAAGGACCGAAGGCTTAATTTTAAGCAGTATATTAAAAACAAAAGGAGCAAGTACGGAATTAAGTTTTATGAGGTTACTTTTCATGATGGTTATATTTTAAAATTAGAGATTTACCAAAGTACGGGTTCGAACGAACCCGAAGCAGGAAATTTTAAAACAAGAACTTATTTTAAGATTATTAGGGCCTTACCTTAACAAAGGCCATATATATGGAAATTGTTTAAAACTGGTACCGGTACTTTGCGATCCGACCGCCGAGGAACTCCTGCAATCGTATAGACCTATCCCATAAAACAGACTTTTGGATAGCGCGTGCCTGAAGAAGAGTGGTATCTCTTTCTCTTTTATGTAATTAAAAAAAGACGACGTGTCTTTTCACGCACGCGCTATCCAAAAGTCCGTTTTATGGGATAGGTCTATTAAAGGTGAAAATATGGTGAAAAACAGCAACCTTAGCGTATATATACCATACGTATATATAACAGTAAACGAAAGGACAAGCGAAATGTATTCGCTATAACTACAGCTTTTAAACCATGTTGAAAAAGATAAGCCTAGCGAATTTGATGCATACCATCGGCACATGTCAGAAATGGATAGAAATGTTATTAAACAAATTAGATGGTACAAAAAAGTCCCCTTCTTACTTCTGGACATCGCTATGAGGAACTCATATTTCTTATACACGAAAGGAGTAAAGCAATTGCCATTTATTGTCTATATGGAGGCGGTTATAAGGTCACTTTTAGGATTCGAAAATGATGCAGATGGTCAAACTCTTGTCAAAGGGCGATTAAAAATTAGTTACAAATCAAACAAACCACATCACTTTCTTAAAACAATTCCCGTTTCGGAATATTTCAGAAAAGCCGACTTTTTCCTAAAATGTAGGCAATGCACTAAATATAAAAATATGAAGAAACAAAGTTTAGGTGTAAAACCTGCCAAGATAAACATCCACTATGTCCAGCTACATGCTTTAAATTATGGCACCAATAATATTTTAAAATGTTTGTTTAAATTCTTAAATAAATGTTTGCGTTTTATTTAAAATAGGGCGACGTCCAGAGACGCCTCTATTACAATTGAATTGAAAAATGTGTTTATTGTGGCAGTGGCGTGTATAGCTGATTTTTTTATTTCTTGAATATCTCTTATAATTAAAACCCTACCAGTATATTTTTTCTGTTATATGCAAAATTAGTAAACTTATACGTGTGTCATGAAATAGTATATTCTGTAACAAGTTTGGAATACAGCATATTCCGTTCGAGTGAAGAGTTTGTCACACGAGCCGAAGGCGAGTTTGACGGTTTCACGAGAGCGGAATATGCAATTCCAAACGTGTTTCAGACTATACTTTTTCTACGTTTCCAAAAAATACCATAGTGAAATAATTTAATTGGAAGAAAGTGAGGTTGGTTCGGTTTAAAAATTGTTAGATAATAAAAACAGAGATGTCGCCACGAGTGTTTATTCTGTCATCCGATGATAGAATATTTCATTTTGTAACACTTTACGGAATATATGTCATTCCATAGATAAAAGTGATATAAGAACGGTCAAATTCCGTAATAGGAGTAGAAAAAGAACTTTCTATACGTGAACGTGTTAAAATGACATTTAAAATTTAAAAAAAATCTGCGGTTTTCTAATAATTTGAAAAAAACTGTAAACCTGTCAAATTTTGACAGTCAAAACCAAAAATTTATATAATTTCCTTATTCCTAGGAATTTAAAAAAAAACTTTTACATGTAAACATACATATTTATTTATATGTTTATCCAATGTGTGATTTTTTTTCGCCAACTAGATTTGGAGCTACCACCACCATCTTTTGCTTTTCCTATGTATCAAAACTAGATAAGTTATGGCGGCTATTATCTAAACAAAAGATGGTAATGGTAACTCAAAATACAGTAGCGAAGAAAATTTGCATGTAAAACTTACTTCTTTTTTAAAAAATCACAGATATAATACAGTTATAACGTTTTTCGGTTATGAAAGGTTTTTTGTTTTTTTATATATTTTGAGAACCACTGGCTTCTTCTCCAATTTATTCTTATTTAACCGACCTTGTAGCTCTTCCAATAAAAAAAGTACCGATACACATAGGAGGATATTTGGTGCACCCTGTATAGGCGCTATCAAAATTTCGCGGGGGAAGCGCACACTTGCTTAGTTACGCTGACCACTACACCACCGAGGTTATCATAATTAAAAATTATAAATATTTATTAAAATGTAAAAATTAAAATTAAATCAAATGACTTTATGGTATTAAATTTTTAAACTCCCTTGAACTAACTAGCCCAAATTGTTTTTCTTCTTTTCCTAATAATAATATTTTTAAAATAATTTGGCAGCTTTTTAAATTATTTTAATATTAAAAGCTTGAACATAAAGTTTATTGATTTTAGAAAATATGGCAGATGCAATTGAAACAGAATGCAGTAAATGTAGTAAAAAACAATTGGAAGGATCGCAGTTTATAACTCAATACATAATTGAAAACAAACCAGAAATTTGGTCTGCGATAGAGGAAAAATATAATCCAAGTGGAAGCTACAAAAGAAAATACCTCGAGATAAAATCCAGCGAAGTCAAAGCAGAACCTTTGTTTGATAATTAAATCATTGTCACAGATCATAAAGGTTATAATGATTGTTACTTAGTTCTTTATTGATGTAAAAAATGTATGTTTCTATGGTTATTAATTATTTAGTATTGCTGTCATTTAATAACATAAATATGAGTTTTCAAATCTCGTTCATATTTTTAATAACATTTAGTTTAGTGGAGTCTGTTAAAGATGAGGAATTGCCTTCCACCTTAATATTTTTTGAATCTAACGGTTTTGTAATAGCAACAACTTTATTTGTCATATTATTTACCCTTATACCTAGAAGTCTACGAGTAAGCTAAAACTGTTTTAAACCAATTATTTCTTAAAAGCCTTTTAGCGATGGAAGATATATATTCCTGAACTGATTTTCGCATTTGTTTTTGTGATTGGGCTGGGAATCCTAACTAAAGATACAACAACTTTTAAAGAGCTTCAATTAGAACATGTTCTTTTTCATCCAAAACTGATATTGTTTCTATTTTCTGCTACGGTATACCTAAGAAGAATTATGTTTTTGGAAGGAAGTTTCTTGATGTCAGCTTTTTTTCAGTCCCTTTTGATTTTTATCCTAGGTAATTATAAAATACCTTAATATTTAAGTAGGGTTTACTCATAACATGTTTTAAAAAAATAATTAAATAATCAGTAGATTTGTCGTTAAATCTAAAAATTATTTGGTGCTGCAGTGCCCCGGTTATCTATTTTAATAATATGTTTTTATTAAGGTACACTTACAGAAGCGTTGGTGATGTATGTTTACCTTAACTTCGTACAAGGTATAGATGAAAAAGATATTCTTAAAGGAGGTAAGTCTTAAACAGAATATTTTTGTAATTAATAAAGCAAAATTTAGTTACCTACTTAAACAAAATAATTATTAGTGATACTTATATAAAAAATTAACTATAACTATAATAGTGGACATTTTTAAAAAACAGTCGTTTTTGTGGCACATTACATTTCTTAGCGGACATGACGTTGACATAATGGACAAAATGATCGCCTTAAGCTTAATTTTCATGTATCCGTTTGTCCGTCATCCGTATGTCAGTTTTTCAATAAAATCGTCCGATAAGAAATGTTCTAATTTTCATGCATACGTTTTTTAATGACGTTAAACGGATTGATTTTGCGACAAATAGAAATTAAGTGTCAGTATATTCACTTACTAAATTTACCTAATGCCTAATTGTCATAGTTACAATTATGTCAACAATTGTAACTTTAACAGTTAGCTGTCTAATAAATTTAAAGGTAGGTAAATATACATTATAAAAAGAATATACTGGCCCTAATATACATTAAAATGTATAGTTTTAAAAAAGCAGGTCCTTTTAGTTCTAGTTTTAATTTTTTTTTGTTTGTCCTTTCTTTTTTTCTGTTATTCTTATTAAATAAAAACTTAACAGTAAAACATTATTCACATAACGAACGTAATATTTCCGTTTTACAATCTTATTGAAAAAATATAAAAATATTTGAAAATAAATTATCTTAAAATAACGTTAGGCGTCAAAAACAGATGTGTAGTGACGGATGAGTTAAAATTATTTAACCTTTCTCTGTCAGACGTACGAAGTTGAAACCTGACGGACCGATAAAATGTCATAATTTTCGAATTATAATTGGACCAATAAGAGCGCTCCCGGATGAACGGACTGACAGACAAACGGATACATGAAAATTAAGCTTTAAGCTTAATTTTCATGTATCCGTTTGTCCGTCATCCGTATGTCAGTTTTTCAATAAAATCGTCCGATAAGAAATGTTCTAATTTTGCGACAAATAGAAATTAAGTGTCAGTATATTCACTTACTAAATTTACCTCGATTTACCTAATGCTTAATTGTCATAGTTACAATTATGTCAACAATTGTAACTTTAACAGTTAGCTGTCTAATAAATTTATAGGTAGGTAAATATACCTTATAAAAAGCATATACTAGCCCTAATATACATTAAAATGTATAGTTTTAAAAAAGCAGGTCCTTTTAGTTCTAGCTTTAATTTTTTTTGTCCTTTCTTTTTTTTCGTTATTCTTATTAAATAAAAACTTAACAATAAAACATTATTTACAAAACGAACGTAATATTTCCGTTTTACAATCTTATTGAAAAAATATAAAAATATTTGAAAATAAATTATCTTAAAATAACGTTAGGCGTCAAAAACAGATGTGTAGTGACGGATGAGTTAAAATTATTTAACCTTTCTCTGTCAGACGTACGAAGTTGAAACTTGACGGACCGATAAAATGTCATAATTTTCGAATTATAATTCTACCAATAAGAGCGCTCCCGGATGAACGGACTGACGGACAAACGGATACATGAAAATTAAGCTTTAGGGTTAACGGTTCTACCAGTCATGAAAAAGACAAACAAGTAGTAAATGGACAACCCAGTGGCGGCTTTACTATGCTAATTAATAACACCATACCATACCGACAGCCAGATATGCAGGTTGGCATTAAGAACCTCACCTTAAAACATAATGACAATATGAATATCTGCGAAATGTACAATCCACTGAGTATTAGGTTTACAGATATTGAAGTTAATACTTTAAAAAATCGCAAAAACAAAATTATTGTTGCGGTTTTAACGTCACCCACTAGATGTAAAACTGCAGTCAGGATGTTTGCAAATGGAAAAAACCGTTTTGTTACAATATCGCAAAAAACAAGGGCTGATCGAGCAAAATCGGCCACCCTGTCGCAAACAAAAAATTTCATATGGTCAGCCTGTGTTATGGCTTTACCAGACGACATTAAAAACATCTACGTAAATTGCCCCAACATAGGTGTCGTGACTAATTCCATTGATCACCACACCTTTAAATCCATCAAAATAAAGGTGTAGCTATTGTTCGCGAATGTGGCTATCGCTACCTGACGTACTCACATAAAGGCACCGCACCTGTACGAGGTGATATATACAAAGTTAGACATAACGACAATCGCCTTAAAGGCGCGTTCTCACGGGGCAAGTTTAGTTGAGATCAATTTAAGTTGATCAGCTAAATTTTAATTAAACTTGAATCAGTTGTTGTTCACACTTTTCATACAAACTGATTAACCGGTTTCAATGTAAAATGGCGTCGAATGCCGCTGTGGGTGAATGTGTACAGATTGTTGTAGTTTTGTTAAAATAAGAATTGAAAAAAAATTGATATGAACAAAATTCGTAAGAAACGTCGTTTTTGAGGCAGTGGATTCTGAAAAGAAATAGATTGGGAGCATCAGAAACCTTATTAAAGAAGCTAGCGTTAGAGGATAAAGAGGGGTATAGAAATCATTTACGAATGTCTGAAGAGAAATTCCACGAATTGCTTTTAAAAGTTCAGGATTGCAAAAAAAAGATACAGTTATGCGACAAGCAATCCCACCAAGGTTAAAATTACATGTAACTTTAAGATATTTAGCTACAGTTGATTCATTTTCAACGCTTGCTTTCATGTATCGAGTACCTAAAAATACCATTTCAAATTTTATGGGAGAGTGTACAGCAATATTCGATACGTTACAAGATTTTATTAAAGTAAGTATACAAATTTATTAAAGTAATACCAAATTTAGTCTAGACTTCTTAGAGCTCTAAAAAGTATATCAGATGATTCTTGTGAATCCTCTTCATATTGTTGCCTGTTGCACGATTGATTTGAAACCGAAGACGACCAATGTACTTCTTCCATATTGCTTGAAAGGGCTGGTGATGGAGATAAATACTTAGGTGAAAACGCTGGTAATAGGGTTGTCTGATACTCAGAAGGTGAAAACGCTGATGATGAATTTGTACGATACTCAGACTTATTAAAAGCTGTACTTGCTTTTGTCGTATTATACTTTAAATTTGTTCCTGACAAATGATTGCATCGTAAAGAGGCATCTGTTTTAGTTATACAGCGATATGTTTAGCAAATATGTTAAATTCATCATCAACATTACTTATATTTTTTTTTCACTACTTCATCAAGTTTATCAATGGCTGCGCTTATAGTTGAAATATTTTCGTTGCCTGTTATTTTTCGTTTGTGATTCTGAGGAGCACGAAAGACTTTGATTATTTTGTAGTAGACGGATTGTCACTTTCTTTGTTTTCTAACTGTATCTCTTCTTCCTGGCTATTACTATTGCAAGTAGTAACAGATGAAACTGTTGATGCAGTAAATACGTTTTCCGTTTCGGTTTCTTCTACATTTTGGATCGTTTTTCTTTCAGCTTCGTCATATTAAAAATTCCAAAGGACAAATAAAATTTCATTGAAATACTTTATATTAGTAATAATTATATTAAACAATAATCAAGCAAATTCAAAGGGAATACCACTTTCGATGGAATTTTCCCAATTGTTTTGTGGGCGTGCGTTGACGCAAACTATTGCTTTAGCTATTTCGACGTAGGCACAAATGGACGAGCAAATGATGTTGATGTTTTTGCAAAATCATCGTTGAATACAGCGTTAGAAAACATTAGGAATATTTAATTATTTAGTACTCATTTATCTAGAAAACAAAAAATCTTTAACTATCGTCTATCAAGAGCTCTCCGTATTGTTTAAAATGCCTTTGGAATTTTGGTTTCTAGATTCAGGGTGTTTGAACGACCTATAGCAGTTGAAATTGACAAGGAGGACGGAATTGGTAAAGCAACTTTAGCATTAAATAATTGGTTAAAAAAAAGTTCGGGGGAAAAGTATACACCAACAGGCTCATTTGATAATGAAGATTTTAATACCAGGCGCATTATACCGGGTTCCTGGAGAACAAAAAGTACTGAAGCGAATGGTTTACTTAATTTACAAGTTAATTTAGGAAGTCGCAACTACAAAAGATTGGCGTCTAATGTGCGTGATGAATATGCCGAATATTTTGCAGGACATGGAGCTGTGCCCTGGCAAATGAATATGATGCACGACGATGTAAATATTTAAAAGTTCATGTAAAAACATGTAAACAATTGTTTTTATTAATAAAAAGTTTACTTACTAAATTTGATGAGGTATCCC